CTGATGATACTCAACTCTATATTTCTTCACAGCCCGACGACGCATACCAATTTGCAAAACTAATGGAATGCATAGTTGATATAAAAACTGGATGACAAGTAATTTCTTGCTGCTAAATTCTGAAAAAAACAGAGGTATTATTAATTATCGGACCAAAAACCTCAGCATGATCGATCACAAGTGCAGTATGAAGTCCCACAATGCTCAGTACTAGGACCATTGCTTTTCACGCTTTACATGTTACCCATGGGAGATATCATCAGGAAACATGGTGTTAGCTTTCACTGTTATGCTGATGATACTCAACTCTATATTTCTTCACAGCCCGACGACGCATACCAATTTGCAAAACTAATGGAATGCATAGTTGATATAAAAACTGGATGACAAGTAATTTCTTGCTGCTAAATTCTGAAAAAAACAGAGGTATTATTAATTATCGGACCAAAAACCTCAGCATGAAATAACCTAGAACACTGTCTAACACTTGATGGCTGCTTTGTCAATTCTTAATCATCAATTAGGAACCTAGGTGTGCTATTGGATAGCAATCTTTCCTTTGAAAGCCACATTTTTAGCATTTGTAAAACCATATTTTTCCATCTAAAAAATATCTAAATTATGACCTATGCTCTCAATGTCAAATGCAGAAAATGACCATATTAGCCCGGTTCTGTCAACACCGCACTGGCTCCCTATTAAACATCGTATATACATTTTTAAATCTTGCTAATCTTGCCCTGAAAGGTTTAGCTCCTCAGTACTTGAGCGAACTCTTATCACATTATAGTCCTTCACATCTGCTGTGATCTCAAAACTCTGGCTATTTGATAATACCTAGAATATCAAAATCAACTTCCTATTTCGCGCCCAAACTCTGGAACAATCTACTTAACATTGTTCGGGAGGCAGACACATTCTGTCAGTTTAAATCTAGATTAAAGATCCATCTCTTTAACCTGGTTTACATATAATACACTATCACATTTCTATAATTCAAATCCGTTAAAGGATTGTTAGGCTGCATTAATTAGGTCAACCGGAACTGGGAACACTTCCCATAACCCCCGATGTACTTGTTACATTGTAAGAAGAATGGCATCTACGCTAATATTAGTCTGTTTCATTCTTATTCCGAGGTCACCTTAGCCACCCAGATCCAGTCTGTATCCAGATCAGATGGTCACTGCAATCACCCGGATCCATTCCTTATCCAGTCCAGATCAGCACCAAGAGACGACCTCTACAGCCCTGAATGTCAGTGGAGACCATGTCAACTACAATACTGTAAAGCTGCTTTGACACAATCTGTATTGTATAAAGCGCTATGTAAATAAAGGTGACTTGACTTGACTTTAATTCTTCAGTAAAAAGTTGTATCGTCTGAATCAGGAGAGAAATATACATAGACCGAGCACCATTTATAAGCAGAAACAATCCAAACTGTTCTAAACAAATATGTTGGTAGATTTTGATGTGAGGGGACAACAGCTGATGGACTTTTTCACTGTAGGAAGCATTATTTTGGATTCTAGACTTTGTCTAGAATCTGTGGTTTAAAGTTAAAATGCCTTAATAATGGATTTGTTTCTTACAAACATGTAGCTTTTCACTTCACAACACCTTAATTGGTGAACTGGAGTCGTGTGGATTACTGTGATGTTTTTATCAGCTGTTTGATTCTGATGGCACCTGTTAACTGCAGAGGATCCATTGGTGATCAAGTGATGTAATGCTAAATTTCTCCAAATCTGTTCTGATGAAGAAACAAACTCATGTATATTTTGGGTGGCCTGAGGGTGAGTACATTTTCAGCACATTTTCATTTTTGGCTGAACTATGCCTTTGAACTCAACATTTCAATGTGGCTGTCTTGGGTGATCTGGGTAGATTTGTATTGTCCACTTCTTATATGAAAAGATGTATCATGTATTGGATAAAACTAGTGTCTATGTCCAATCATCGTTATCCAAGAAAATGTTATAATATGCTGTTTCAATTAGATGAAGCAGGTAGAAAAACATGGGTTACTCGTATTAGATTTCTGCTGTATTTTTATGGTTTTTCTAGTGCCTGGGAGGCTCAAAGTGTAGGTGATATAAGAACCTTTACAACTATTCTTAACCAACGATTGAAAGAAAAAGCACATGAGGCATGGTATACATCAGTTTTGGAAAATAATAAGTTAAATATATATTCACAATACAAGTCTTGGTTGATACAAGAGAGCTACATTGCGTCTGTGTATAACATGCAACTGGTACGATCATTGTTCCTTTTTAGATGTTCAAGTCATCATCTTGCTATAGAAACAGGCAGATGGAGTAATACACCAATGGCAGAGAGAATCTGTAGTTATTGTAATCAAATATTTCTGTGATAGAAGATGAGAAGCATTTTTGTATGATTGCTCTTTATATGAGGATTTGCGTAAGAAATACTTAGGTGATCTTGTTCTTGTTGGTGATGTTTGTATTGATGTGTCAAGTGTTTGTGATTCAGGGTATGCATGGAGATTGGCATTGTATATATATATCATGGAATGAAGAAAAGATTATTTGCCATGTCATTATGATTTTGTGGAACTATGGGCCGAGAGGCCATGTATTCCTGGAATAAATTTGAAACTGAAACTGAAACTCAACATTTTCTGGATTTGCTTTGTTAAAGCCCATCTTGATCTTATTTTAAACTCATTAGGATTTATTGGTGGATGTTATTCCACAGGAAAAAAATAGGTTGTTTTTGTAAACTTTAATCAAAATGTAGTAACTTGCTCTTCCTTATCAAATTACTTTTCAGTAACAGTTCAGAATTTGAAAGCTGTGTGCATTGTGTAAATGTATGCAGTTTACAAATCCCCATAGCAACATTTCATGAATCAACCAGCACCTTCAACCCATCCACTTTAATAGGCTTCTGGAATAAATCTGGTAATTCCAGGCCCCTCAGGACCTTGAGTCACTGCTAATTCTCTCACATCAAACAAGAGTTCATTAAAAAATGTGAACTTGCTTACTCTCTAAGCTGTACGTCTGTGTATTTGCCGGGGGAAACAGCGATATGAAAAAAAAAAAAGATTAACTAGGCATTAGATTCATGTTTTAGATCTAAATCATTTTGTTCAGAACAACTACACCTCTCGTTTCTGATTACTAAACTGCTTAAGCTTGTGTGAAGAAAAACGGCTTTTTTAGAGTAACTTGAAAATAATTAATTTTATGTGCTAATGCGCTATTCAATAAGGGATTATTTCAGTCTTATTTTTCTATCCCACGTTGGAAAACGTTAAATAATATGTACATATGCTAGATGCATGACAGCGTGCGCTGGAATGAGAGATTGAGAAGTTCCCTCTGTCTCCGCTAGGCGGCAGTATGACGTTGAGAGACGCATCCACGTTGACAGCGGCAGACAGCGTGAGCGAAAGAATGTCTTAGGAAAATATCATAAAAGACAGAAATCCCTTGCATTTCACAGTGCAAACTCGGGACAGGTTTACTTTGGCTTAAAACAGATAGAAAAGCAAAAGTAAAAGGGAGAGAATGCGTAAGCTTGCAGAAGTCGCACTATTTCAAACAGACTGAAGAAATTAATGGATGGTTTTAAATTATAGGTGCTTGTTCGAGAGCTCTTCGCATTCATTTTTTTAAGCGAAAAGACGAGTAACTATTATTTAAATGCGCACTTTCTAATATTATGAGAATTGTTGGGTTTCAAACAAGTAAACAGAAAATGACGCGCATCACTTCCTCTCTCTGCCTCTCTCATCCTGCGCATCAACTGCGCGCCTCGGGTAGCAGGCGTAAAGAGTGTGGGCGAAACAGCTGGAGTTCCGCAATGGTCGTCTCATATGCTGAGAACAATTACATAACTGTCGTTGAGTAATTGTGATCGTAAGGTGGCCGTAATTGAAACCACGTACCATTTGTAACAGATGACACCAGCACGAATCGGTCACTCTCATCGATTCTCTCACCAATGTCTGTTCAACACAAGGGGACTCATTTTACACGATATATAGATAGATAGATAGATATTTTAATAGTTATTGAGATATTTTAATAGGCAGATGGATGTTTTAATAGTTTATTCAAATGTTTAAGTAACCACAAAAGTTAGTCAGAATGCAAGAAATCGCGTTCGACTGAGGTATCCATATGACAGTTGGCTACATCAGCACTTTGCCTTAAGTTCATTATTTATACAATTAACAAAAGTACTCTAATATTTATAACTTTATTACAGATTTTCACAATAACCCTTACTGTTAAAAAAAAAAAGACTTTAACATAGTTAACTGTAGTCGCCAATATAGAGCTAGGGTTGCGTAAGACACATTTTAACAGATTCACGCCCCGAGTTTTTATTGAAATTCTTTTTAAAATGTTGACTCCTGAAAATTATGGACAGACAGAAACCCATTTTTGAAGAAAAACAAATAACGAATGAATGAGTGAGTCAATTAATGAATGCGACTGTGAATATTCACAGGACTAACGGTGCGCACTACTGTGTGGAACAGATGCGCATCTGGACAGTCAAGGCATTTGTTGACATTTTAAACTGATACTGACCAACATGTCTATTATGGTGTGTTACTGAGTCCGGATAAGACAAGGTAACACTGATATAACATCACGTCTCCTTTTTTCCTGTGGTTTTTGAACCAAGGGTTTAAATTCATGCTGAGTAGGCTAATCAAGGTAGCTCAGTGTGACAGCATCATTAAGCCCACATTATTTAACCATATGCATATTCTGCGAGTGGCAGGTGATAAATTCTCCAACGTATGAGACTTAAAGTATTGAAAGTCTTCCTCCCTCTCTCCCTCTCTCTCTCTTTGGGCTCATCTCCAGGTCCCGCACGCTCCAGCGCCCGGCCCGTTCACTTTTCACCCCGCCTCAGTTCGGTGGGGTGGGGTGGGGTAAGGGGGGAGCCGCTTGCACCCTGGCCGAATGCCGCCTCACTGCCTCCGCTATATAAACACACATTGGAAGCTCGCTGTGCGACTCGAACTCACATTGAGAAACTGTATATGAAGAGAGAGAGAGAGCTAGAGCGCAAGAGAGAGGTAGAGAGTGAAACCGCATCAAAAAACGGGCTAGCGAGACGCACTACAGTCATCTGAAGATTTTTACTGGCATAGGCATCAAACTTCGGAGGATTATTTCTTTCATTTACTTCTGCGTCTTCCTTATGACCATTACTTGATTTCAGTGCATTTAAAGAGATTATATCGAGCTTTCCTGTAAGATATTTTTAAAAAACAATAATTTTTTTTCAAAAAGTAACTTAAAGCTAACTTTTAAACAAGTTTGGAATTTAGAACAACATTTCTAAATCAAGTTTCAAATTTGACAGGTTCACGCCAAATTTAAATTTTAAAAATTAAAAAATTCAACTTAAAAGTCACGGCAATATTCGAAAGCGATTTGCATAATTTAAAATGATGTACAAATATTTAAGATCGATTTGTAATATCCAGCATTGTGTTAATTAAACACTTCAATTTATTCATTTACTTTTCATTAGAAAACGTTGCGCTGCCTTTTGGTGCGAGATTCTTCTCAGCTATTTTTGCTTTTCAGAATAATTGTAGCAGCAAATCATATATAACACATTAAGTCACTCATATACTCCCGAGAAGGCTCAACCACTGTAGTGCTCATCACTCCATATATTTGAGACAAGTCCCCGGACGTTCACAGCCATGCTCTTCGAGAGTTTTGACCTTGTCTCGGCGCTGGCGACGCTGGCTGCGTGTTTAGTGTCCATGGCACTTCTTCTGGCCGTGTCCCAGCAACTCTGGCAGCTGAGATGGACCGCAACACGGGACAAGAGCTGCAAGCTGCCTATGCCCAAGGGCTCCATGGGGTTCCCCATCATTGGAGAAACATGCCACTGGTTCTTTCAGGTAAGCGCTCCATCTCCTTGTGTCTTTCCAAATTTCCATTCGCCTTGCTGTCGCGCGCACACCGCTCCGGTGCGCGCCAGGCACCGCGGATTCGTGCGCTTACAAGTGTATAGTCTCCCTGTAGGTAACTGGGTTGTTAAAGACACATCAAGAGTAGGATAACGTCCACTAATGCTTTTCGCACGTGTGCGCTCGAACGCAATATTGCGCTTTAAAAAAGCGAACTGCCTGCAGGTTAGTTGTTCCCACGTGTGCAATATCATCCGTGCCATATTTCCATGGTGTTAATAAGCTCTCTGTTTTAGATAGCCGACAGTTTTTGTTTCATACAGCCAGTTCTCAATCCACGTGGAGCAACCTGTTTGCGTCTGCCAAGAAAGGCGCGTTCCGTTCCAGAAATATTGTATTCCTTGGCTTTCGATGCACACGAGAACACAGCCACTGAGCACCGCTTGTCAAAGCGCGCATAAACTCCTCTTGGCGCGCGGGGTGGGATTGATCGCGAGGGCAGGTAGTGTCGCGCTCTCATTGAGCTTCTGTGTAATTACGCGCGCCAGTTACTCTAGACGACCGCGCATGGTGCGCATACAGTACATTCAAGGAGTCTCTGTGCCATGTTCCTTAATACGTCAGGGAAGTTTGTGAAAGCTCACACGGCTGGTATTAGAACATAGATCGCACATGAACTGAATAAGAATCAACACAGTGGCCATAATGTGGTATTTTAAAAGTAGGTAATTACACGATCCTAAGCTGTAAAAAACAAAACAAATAACAAATTCCATACAGTAAAAATCGTGAATAAATGTCTTAGGAATTATTTCCATATTAAATCCATGGTGCACATTAGAATGTCTCTGGACATTGGCTTACAGTAGCTGGAGTGGGTTACTTTTAACTGAGATTTGCTGAGATTCAACGGGGAGGAATGTCCTGGTCTGAGTGGTGTACAGATCAAATTCTCTGGTCAGGAATAGATTCTCCAAAGTTGCTGGAAATCCAGGAAAGAATTTCCATGCAGTTGGCAGACTCTCTACAAAAACAAACAGGCTTGTCTGCATATCAGAGTTATATATTTAAAATCAATAGGATTTGGTCTGGTCCATTTGTGCCAAACTTGTGTCATTTCTATAGAGCAAGGCATGACTGCAAGGTAACTGAGAGCTACTGTGCAAACATGCAGTTTAAAATGTTGATCTATATCTCCTTGTGCTTCTGAAAACATGCATTGCTTTTTAACAATCTGTGTATACCGATACATTTAAGACAACCCCTTAAATTTGTTGGTTAGCCCCCTTTGTGGTCCACATCTCTCTCCGTAAGCCTCAGCAGAGCAGCAGTTGAATCCAAAAGTGGGTCAAATCTGTGATTGATAAAGATTTATGGACTCAGAGGAGTTTAATTTTTTATTTTTTTTGCGTTCTCTTGCGGTGTGTCTGTCGTTTTGAATTATGAAATGATTTTATTTTTTGTCTTCATTGTATGAATTTTCAATTTACCACAAAAAATATCTGGTCAGAACTTTTTTTTCTTCTCAACAGTGCTCCAAGTTTTGCTGAAATATCCATATGGAGCATAAAATTGAGTTCAGACTTAACATTAATAATGATCATTACATAAGCACAAATTCCTTTGCAGTTCACCCAGTGGGCAAACCTACTTTACCTCTACCCCACGTCTCCACCTTGACCTAAATCGCTCCAGTCTGGGTGGCAATAAAGCCGCCCACCAGGGGGTCAAAAACACACCCACACCCTGGGACAAAGACTACATGGCTTGGGGCTCTGATCAGAATTCCAGAGAGCATGGCCTGTAGAGACCTGGGGGATTTAGGAACAGTCTTCCAGCAACCTCTCTCTCTCGCTTTCTGGCTTTCGGGATTAGCGAGCATGAAACGGGCATGACTGGCACCAGTGCGGTGTGGCCCCTTTTTCACCTCTGGAACGCACCACCAACCCCTCAAACAGCCTCTTGTCTTTAGGAACAGGGGACGGGGGGTGAAAGCAAAGGGGGCTTGGCAGCAGTAGTGGGAGGAGGAGGAAGGTAGGGGGATAGAAAAGAGAAGAAAAGGGGGTCCCCGGGGTGAGCGCTCACACTGCACTGAACAACCATAATCTCTCTCCACAAAGTGTTTCCAGGTCAAAGGGGAGCCTATTCTCTCAGCTCGGCCACATTTAGGTTCTTTGCGCTTGTCTCGTGGGCTTTGGTGTTCACTCGGCATTAAGCGAAACCATTTCTCTCTGATGGCGAATGCTGATTCTAACTGCGTTGCCCGAAATTCCCATATCTCCTTTCATTTATGCAGAGCCATGTGCCTCTGAGAACACCCTCTTTGGCGGGTACACCCAAGGGTGACAGATGGCCAAATAATGAGACCTCAAGTCCTACTGCCTCTGCTTGCTTTCCCCCTCTCTCTTTGCAGAAATTCTGTCTATACCCCAATGGAGACGGGCCAACGCACACATCCTGAGAGATTCCAATGGGCTATTTCAGTAAATGGACATATTATCTTTATTTACGCTGAGACTGTGGGTCAGCATACGGAGAGCTCCTCCCGCGCCATTACCTGCCACTCTGAACCAATAAACACAGCAGCCCCCAGACTAAGCCATGCAGACACATACACACACATGGATATATACAGAAGGACCTGAGGACAAGGGTCAGAATAATGAGTGATACAAATAAAGAGCACGGAGCAGAACAATGTGCCAAGGAAAACTTGCTGTACACTTTTCAATTCCCGCTGCTCCATCCATCATTTCTTCTCGTCTTTCTTCATGGCGGTCGTATGCTGAAGAAACACATTGAGGTGATTGAAATTGCATATGAAATTGCATATAATTATAAGAATATAATTAAAAGGTTTTTTTTTGTGATCTTAATAAAGGGGTCATTTGTATAACATTTCCACTGGCACACAAAGGCTACATTTATGTAGCGGGAGGCTCGCCTGGTGTCCAATTTACATAGAAATTTGTATTTTTAGTCCTGCGCACTCTGTGGAATGGACCAGTGGAAAAAAGCGGTCCGCTTTATTGCGCCCCCTTGTAAAATATCTGATAAATTTATTTTCAAAATAAAAGAAACTATTGAACGTGGCGACTTAACCCTTTCACCTCCAGAGGCAGAGAACAGGCATGTTTTGTGTGAGGTCGAACAGCATAAAACTGAACACACACATGGAATGTAAACACATCTGATCTGTTCAGCTGTTTAAAATGCAAGAATCTATTATTCGTTTTGTCTATTTATTGTCATGTCTATTTCATTCTGATTCTAAGGCTTTAAATACGTCAAGGAGAAAAGTGACAAAAACTACGCAGCTGCACGAGCTTCTGACACAGATGTACTTCTCCCAAGAGCCCTGCGCACTTTATTGTCTTCAAGCGACGTCTGACATGTGTTTTGCGGTCCAAATGAATGTGGAAAGCTTTTCTGTCTTATCGCTGAAGATCATCTAACCTCAGCATCTAACGGAGTTCTTGAACCCAATCTGCCTTCACTCAAAATAAACAGGCTGTTATTTGACTGACAGCTGATTTCACTTGGTTTTTAAGAAAATGTGCTTGGAGCAACAAAGTTGCCATGACCATGCATGCGTGCATAAGTGAACAGACGCACCGGCCGCATTCGTGTGTGTGTGTGTTTGACAGTGCGAGTAAGCTGCAGATTATTACCTCATAGCTTTTCCAGGGTGTGTGGAGCTTTTGTGTGTCACTGACCCTTTTGGGTTTTTTGTTTTATTTTCGTTCTCTGTACGTCTAAGATTCTGTGGCCTTGTGAAATGAGGGAGGACATTTCTCACCTTCTAGCCAAATGACATCTGCGCGGCCAAGCCCAGCGTGTTTGTCTCCCCATTTTGCCTCACGACCTGTTCTGCTATTTCCAGCGCGCCGAGTCACTTTTCTATGAAGCAGACTGTGACCATTAAACCATCCTAATCACATTTTCTTATGCTCACCTCACTGTCAATCACTTCCAAGCAGGAAAACCATTACCTTTTCCCATCTTTTATCTTTTGCACTTTTTCCCCTTTGTACTACACAGGTCAGAAATGGATCCTCTCTGGCTGCCCTTCTGTGTACACTTGTTTCAGAGGGATGGCCCCTACATGTGTAAATACACACATGTAGATGTGAGAAATGTATATGTGTTTTTGGTGATGTAGTGTTTGACCATACATTGCATACTTTCACTACTCATGGAGAGGTGGAAAAAAGGCCCCGGCATGGTATGGATGACAGCATGTGGTGTTTAAAATGCATGTCCTTGTTCCCATAATTATCAAACACACCAAGTTCACGCAGGTTACACATGACGTCAAAATAGAAATCATCTGAAGGGGAAATATGACAGAACAAAGACCATAAACAAATACAAATTACAAGTTCACTTTTGCGTAAATGTGTTTATATATTGAAATCAACAGAGAGAAAGTTAGAGAGTGCCCTTATGTTGGGCATGTGTGAAAGACGGCCTTGTTCTGGGTCTGTCAGGTTGAAAACAGCTCCTTTCTCTCTCATACTGACTGGTTCCACTGCTGGGAGGTGAGCATGCACACACAAAATCATCCATCATCACACACACTCAGTTCTCACCATGTGGTGAAAGATACTACATTTATTTTCCCCTGCTTCCCCTGCATTACTTTTGGATGTGTGTGTGTGTGTGTGTGTGCATGTGGTTGTTCATGTCAGCATTACCTCCTGCCCTCACACTCACCTGATATGTGAAATCTTCAGTGTCTTTAAGTATAGACTGGCTGTGAGCTGGCCAATGAACATTTCTCTCACCCCACACACTGTCCATGCAGTGGCTGTGCCCCCTGTCTAACACCTGGCGAGGTCCCGGGATGTCATGTGTCTGTTTGGCCATGGACAGGGTTCCTCTGGGGAAATCTTCGGTCATACTGTTTTAGAACAACAGTCTAAAAGTGTTTCTTACTGACTAAACCTTGTTTTTCTGAAGTACAAACTGGTCGTTTATGATTCTAGAATCAGGAATTCTTTCACCTCCTTCCAACGAAGAACCAAAAATGTTTGAATATGACATAATCCCCCCAAAACTATAAAACCTAAAACAGGCTTTCACTGGAAAAATTGTGAAAACTGGGAAAGAAAAGTGTGAAAGTGTGAAATACGGTTTAAATTGTCCACCACTGCAGATTTTACAGCCATATTTTCTCCCACATGTTCAGCCAGTTCTGGTTAAACTTTGGCTGTTGAGAAAGTGAGACGTAATCCCCTTTTGTCTGACCTTGTCTAACCTCGGTGTGTACATATCGCATTAGTTTGATCTTATAATTTGCAGGTCATAAGACATTTTCTAAATCGTGAGCTAAGGTTGTCATTTATGGACTCTGATATTATGGAGGTGTTGGATGTGTCAGTCAGCCAAGGTCAAAGGTCAGGAGAGAATAAAAAAGCATGAGTAAGATAAAAAAAAAGTGAAGTTAAGATAGAGAACTAAAGCTTCCACTGACAGACAGTTTTACCTCAAAAATTAAAATGCAATGCATTTCAGATTATGCCCATACATTTACGCTCTTTAATGTTTGCCGACGTATGTTATAAAAGTTCAACAGGCAAGTCATCATTCATGAGCTAATCTGTTCATTTGTTTATATATAGAGGTGAGAAACCCAGCTTCTGGCCACAAGTACACGAAAAGGGGTGGAACGCTTATTTGCCCATCTCCAAAGAGACTGGCTGCTGGACTAAGGGCAGACAGGAAGGGCGCTGGGAAGTACTTGCCATCATAGTTAAAGCAGCAACATGCTCAGGACCTGTCCCTCATATTTGAGACCAGGAGATGGTGGAAAAATGAATGTGACAAGAGCTACTTTGTCCATACACATATTTTGAAGAGACTATAACATGTTCCGGAAGTATACAGTTTGAATTCTGCCACCTTTGCTTGTGGGTTCTCAATTCTGAACATAAGTGATATTAAGCCAATCACCTAAGCCGTAAATGCCATAAAAGCACTCCAAAAATAAATCTGTCAATGGTAAAACATCATCTATAATATAATGAAATACTTTAATTCATGATTTATGTTACTTGGAAAAACAATTTTGCTTGACATTTCAATTGAACAGGCATTAGCACACAGAAGCAAGCATATAGCATGCTGAGCTGAAGCATGCATGCTGAAGTGTATTCAGACTAGTTTCTCTCAGCCAAACAGGACAAAAAGCCTTGCATGCTGCTAAATTTATCCTTGCAAATAAGAGTGTGAGTGTTGGAGTGTGCTCGATGAAACTGGTCACAAATTTTGGTGGGGGGGCAAACAGCTCTAATGCCACTTCCTGCCATGGGGTCAGTATGTGTGTGTGAGGCTGAGAGGTTACAGGCTGTCTTTATGTGCTCAGCAGAGGTCTCAAGGGCCAGAGGCAATTACTATGTGTTATACAGAGCAACTCACTCCAGAGCTAAGAGTCTTTTTTCATGTTCATAATTTTACTCAACTAGACTTGAATGTGCATGATGACTAAAAATTTGTTTTACTTTAGTATTGTGCAAAATAATGCACTTATTTACAATGTATTTGTTTATGCTCGAAATACATACAGTGTTAACACTGTGACATTTCAGTCAGGCAGATTCAGGTTCATGTCTCTGGCCTGAGAAAGCCTGAAGTGTGTTTCTGTAACCCTTAAACGTCCCTTTTAGATGTTTGGGGTAATCACTCTGCTTGTTCTTAAATTGCAGAGGTGAAGGGGTCAAAGGTGAAAATTTGCAGGATGTACTGGATTCCTTGCTGATTAGCACTTTCAGCCAAACTTTCACACAACACACACTGACTTCTTAGAGCTAATGGCTGTGCTCATACTCATTAGATCACTTCTCTCTCAGCGTGATCCCGAAGGCTAAGCCTGAGCCCCTTCTTAGCTTAAGCTAACCCAATTGCATAAAGAATGTTGTGAACACAATTTCTACTTAGGGGAACCCACTTGTAGAGGGTCCCCAACAGACAATTTTATGGGTTATTGCTAGGCTAAAGGCTAATAATGTCACTGAAACTACAAAGGTAATAATTCTGTTCAATTTACGGTTTAAAACCAACAGCTGTTGGTAAAAATGTATCATAACAAAAGCACAGTGACAATGTTTCAGGCAAGTTGGTGACTTATTAAAATCATAATATTAACAATACTGTACAGTATTATTTTAAAATAAAATATCGCACTGAAGAAGGCCTTGAGTTGAAACGTTTGTGTTTTGTCCTGCTGGTGATTAATGTAAAATAAAATATTAAGTGACAAAAGAGCACAGTTTCACTTTGTGAAAATAAAAAATCCTAAAATAAATTAAAAGGTAATTTATACTTTATAATAAATGTAATTTAAAAAAGATATAATTTTAAGATTAAACATATAATTGTTAATATATTATAATTTTTTCACAGTTAGCCAATCAACACATTTTTATTTACTGTAGCAGTTTGCCATTTTTTCCTTTTAACATTTTTTACAGTGTAACATCAAATGCATTTACTAATTTGATTTCCTAATCTGTTCCACTGTTTAATCTGCAGCTAATGTATTTTCTTCTTCTTGCACCCGCTTCTCTTTTTCAGGGTGCAGGTTTCCATGCGTCAAGGAGGCAGAAGTATGGGAACGTGTTCAAGACTCACCTGCTGGGACGGCCGCTCATCCGGGTCACGGGGGCAGAGCATGTGCGTAAGGTTCTGATGGGAGAACACAGCCTGGTCACTGTGGACTGGCCCCAAAGCACCAGCACTCTACTGGGTCCCAACAGTTTGGCCAACTCTATAGGAGACATCCACCGCAAAAGGAGAAAGGTAAGGTCCATATACGCTTGTTTAACACTCAAATGTAGTCTTGTTATGTGTGGGAACCATCCTTATCTCCTAATGGATGGTTTTTGTGTGCACCATTTCCCTGCCTTGCCAATGAAAAAATGTTTTGAATTTGTGAAAGGACAAAATAGAGTAAGAAGTGAGATGGAGTGAAAGAAAAAAGATAGTAGGTCAAATGGAAAAGGCTGTGCCATCCTTAGGTCCAGATTTGGAAACAGATACCCACAATGCCTTGCTCCCCTGTTCACTATTGTTACACATAACAGTCTGCTCACAATGGAGGATTATGCTCATAACTAGATTCTCCTCAAATCCAACCCATTGTCCGGGGACAAAATAGCTTTTTTGTGGACCCTGGTTCTTTTCAGTCCCTTGGAGGCTTGAGTTTCACCCCACACACCTGTTCCATTGAGGGGTCAGCGGGGTGTAATCAGTCTGGTTAATCCTCCTGGTCCAGGGCCTCACACAAACCCCCTAATGACTGCTAATTAGTCAGCCAGCCTCAGACAGACAAAGACAGCCTTATGGACCCTTCAGCCAGGTTTCAATGTCTTGCTCTGCACACTAATGTCATAAATATATTTTCATTTGTTCTTCAACCTCTCTGGAGGCATACAGCAATGTACTTTCTATATTTTAGACTGGAAAGGTATGTTCATCAACACGGCCTGTTAGAGCCTCTAAGCCCTCTGGGACGTCCTGTTCTAGGCATGACATTTGGGAAAGACATTTTTTTTTACTGTAAATGTCTCTTCGAAGACAATTGCTACACATATACATGTACTGGAGATACACTGAATGCAAGCATTAGATCCAAACGAGCTTGGGATGTAGCTAAATAAATGATATAATTTCCTAGAAGAAAACAAATTATAATTGATTTTAACTGGCTTTGTATTAATGGAAATTCTTAACGAAAGTTCTTCCATGTCTATATCTATGTTCTGGTCACTAACAGGATGCACAACAGCTCACTGAGTAATATTAGAAGCAACTAAATCACACTTGTTGATGCAGCTATAGAGCAGAAGGCCTATCAAGCTGTGGATTTGGTGAGGTGTTGAATTTATTAGGTTGGCCAGTAGAGGGCACAGGATCTTAATTCTGCACTCACCTGCCTACACAAAGTGTTCTCGCTGTGAATGAAGGATTTTGTTTTAGTCAGCGGGGGAGAGAGAGAAATGAGAGAGCAAGCGAGCGAGCGAGCGAGCGATTGGAAAAGTAGAGAGAAGTGTAAAGAAAGTGAATGGTTTGGGGGAGAGAATAAAGAGGTCTTTACATTCTGGTCAAACCAGCAGCTTTGAGCAGTTTCATATAATTTAAGACATATGGAAATTATTAGGGTGGGGGAGTTTTAAAAGGCCGTGTGTGTATGTGTGTGGAAAGTGCAGTACAAGAAGTCACGTTTTGTAATGAAGACAGGCGGCTGTTTTTTCCCCCAGTAGTGTTC